AAATAAATAAACAAAGTTAAAACAATTAAATAAAATTGAGGACATGTTTGAAAAACACACATAATAACAATAAACATTATTTGTTTACGATTCCAAGATACAAATTCCAACAATATGACGTCAAGCAGACTCATAATAACAAATGATAAGCAGGTGTAATCGTGTATTAATTTTATGCCACGTTGTGGTAATGCAATTTTGTTTTTTTATTTATTATTTATTTATAGTATACATATTTATACAGGTACACAGATATCAGTTATAAATCTTTTAACCCCCAGCCCCCCCCCCCCCCAAAAAAAAAAAAATTGTAACATGCAGAAACCAGTACAGATGACACGCCACACCATTCCTTGTGTTGTGGTATTGGTACGTATTATTTCATATATGCAAGTTACAAGGCAAAAAAAAACCTAAATAAATAAACAAAGTTAGAACAATTAAATAAAAATGAGGACATGTTTGAAAAAAAAGATTAAAAAGGGCACTTATTCAAGATTATTTCAAGATTTATGAGAATGGAAAATGGAAACTTATTGCAAAGGAAAATGGGAACATGCCGAAGGAAAAGGGTACGTGTCAAAAATAAAAAAAGGGCACTCGTCAGAGGTGAAAAGGGGGAAGGGGCACTTTTACTAATAGGGGCACTTGTCAAAGGAAAAGGGGCACTTCTTACAAAATTAAAGGGGCACTTTTTCTATGTAAAAAGGGGCACTTTTGGGGTATCTGAAAAAGTGGGGGGGCACTGTGCCCCCCCCCCCCACCCCCCGGGAGGGCCGCCTCTGCCCCTGCCCCTCCATGCACAGGCACGTTATTGCAATATCATTAATTGCTTCGCTTTGTATATATCTCTTTGATTCCCAGAAAAAGGGAACAAAAAGGAGATTATTTGGTTTTGTTTGGGGGGGTGGTGGGGGCTGCATTATTTATACAAAAAACTTGAAGCCAATAATTCTACTCTGAATGACTATGATAATGATGTAGCTACAGTAGATATAGATGTAGGTCTACTTTACTCACTAAATCAAATTGGATATTCTACTCGGAATGAATAATGATAATACAGTAGATATAGATATAGTTTGATTAGTTATACCAGGGCATGTGAGTTAAAGTCTCACCTCCCTGGTTATACTCACATCACTCGATCAAATTGGGCAGTACAATCGGGGTCCAGACAACTCGCCACAAAGACAACCCGCCACAATACCCTGGACATCCCGCCACAATACACCAGTTTACAGTTGTATCAGTGCGCATGCGCAGACAGTTGACCTCGGGTCATTGGCCCCAAAATTGGGGCCAATAACCTCTGACCTCTGGTATTTATGCGTAAATTAAGATTGCGCCCATATATGCAAATTATGATGTGAGCGCATGATCGAGTAAATAAATTTAACTAGGCCATGTCATCAGTGTAATCTTTTCACTGTGACGCAACAATACGTGTTCATCTGAAAACGATGACATCACTGCCTGCGCGCTGCGCTGTGCGCTCACATCATAATTTGCATGGGCGCAATCATAATTTACGCATAAATACATGACCTCTAGGTCATTGGCCTTGTTTAAAATGGCGCACACAACTGTAAACTGGTGTATGGCTTTGTTTAAAATGGCGCACACAACTGTAAACTGGTGTATACCCTGGACAACCCGCCACAATACCCTGGACAACTCGCCACAGCCTTTTCGGACAACTCGCCACACTTTTTCCCATCATGATTTCTAGATCTAAAATGAAATGAAACTGTCATTTTTCATGATTTTCGTGCTTTTATAAACACAGTCATTACAAAGAATAAAGAATAAAGTTGATTTCCCTAATTGTAACAATAATATATATTGAAATGAAATTGTCATTTTTCATGATTTTCGTGCTTTTATAAACAGTCATTAAAAAGAATAAAGTTGATTTCCCTTGTAACAATAATATACTTTTGATCTAGAGGTCTATAACAGCTGCATTTTTCTGTCCCAGAATTTTTTTTTATGGTAGGATACTGGAAGCACTGGCGTACTGATGGGGGGGGGGGGGGGGGCAGGTAATATTAGAATGTAAAGATACGCCAAAGATACATAGCAGCATATTCCTACCATTAAAAAGTTTCCTGAGACATGAACTTAAAAATCGTAGTCGTAACTCGTAGTCGTAGTACGCCTGGCTTGGGTTCGTCCAAAATAGATTCTTGTTGCATAAGCGCAAGGAAAATCATCTTTATTCTTTAGAACAGCTCTCAAAATACTCACAATTTCCATGTTTCCTGCCATAACTGTGTTTATAAAAGCACGAAAATCATGAAAAATGACAATTTCATCTAAGATGAGGGATTTTAGATCTAGAAATCATGAGGGGAAAAAAGTGTGGCGAGTTGTCCGAAAAGGCTGTGGCGAGTTGTCCAGGGTATTGTGGCGGGTTGTCCAGGGTATTGTGGCGGGATGTCCAGGGTATTGTGGCGGGTTGTCCAGGGTATTGTGGCGGGTTGCGACTTTGCGTTTTACACCCTGGCCTGGACCTTTTCCCAATAAATTTCAAGGAACCGACTGGGAAAAGTCTATCCATGACAAGATATTGCGCGCGCACGTAGCTCTTCTGCAATGCTCAACGTACGTCCTATATGTCCAGTGTCGCGGTACGCGGTACATGTACTTTTGTATCGAGACGTACGAGTGAGAGAAAAACAACGAATAACAACAGAAGGAAATAGAGAAAAACAATAAATAATTAAAGAACAGAGAGGAAACAAAGAATGTCATAAGCAGAGAGAGAAAACAAAACTAACTTGAAAGAAAGAGAGAAATTAGAGAAGGAATTAATCAAAGTAAGGAAAGAGAGAAACCAAATAATATTATGGTTTTTGTGGTTTAATTCCGCCTTCTTCAGGGTTTCAATTTTTGACGTGACGTAGCCTACTTTCATGGGCGTCAATCCTGGGGGGGGGGGGGGGGACGGGGGGACACGTCCCCCCCCCCCCCACGAATTTTCAGGACGTGAAATGTCCCCCCCATGATTTGGGGTTAAAAAAAATGTTTTTTCTTCCTTTCTCTCTTTCTCTCTGTGTTGAGAAAAATCAAGCCAAATCAGGCGATCATATTTTATTAATAGAAGCGTCATTAATATTACATTCACATTACCGGAAGTTCAAAAATTGGTTTACGATGAAAATCCTTTCACCATCTAAACAAAAAAATCAAGTTAATCCCTTGTACCTTCCAAACCTTATGGCTGATTGTTCAATAGAAACGACAAATTCATCTATCTACCCCCCCCCCCTTGCATTCTTGTTCCTGTTAGTTGAACTTAAGACTGTTTTATTTTTAATTTGGCAAAAATTATGCCCCAAATCAAGCCATCTTTCCATCAATTTAAAAAAAAATCTTCAACTTCTGAGGGGGGCACACCCCCTAGGTTCTACTGTTTTCTTTTAAATTTGGCAAATAAATGCACCAAATCGAGCCATCTATCCATTAATTTCAAACAAATCTTCAACTTCTGAGGGGGGAATACCCCCCCCCCCCTCAGACACCCCCCTGCGTTCTACTGTTTTTCTTTTTAATTTCGCAAATAGTATGCACCAAATTAAGCCATTTATACATCAATTTAAAACAAAATCTTCAACTTCTGAGGGGGGCACATCCCCCTCAGACACCCCCTGCGTTCTTGTTCCTTGTTAGTTGAACTTAAGACTGTTTTCTTTTTAAATTTTGCAAAAAGAATGCACCAAATTTAGCCATCTATCCATCAATTTCAAAAAAATCTTCAACTTCTGAGGGGGGCACATCCCCCCTCAGACACCCCCTGCGTTCTACTCTTTTTCTTTTTAAATTTGGCAAAAAGAATGCACCAAATTGAGCCATCTATCCATCAATTTCAAAAAAATCTTCAACTTCTGAAGGGGGCACATCCCCCCTCAGACACCCCCTGCGTTCTACTGTTTTTCTTTTTAATTTGGCAAAAAGTATGCCCCAAATCCATCAAATAAAAAAAGAAAATCAACTTCTGAGGGGGGCACATCCCCCTCAGACACCCCCTGCATTCTTTTTCATGTTAGTTGAACTAAAGACTGTTTTCTTTTTAATTTGGCAAAAATATGCACCAAAGCGAACCATTTAAGCATCAATTTCAAAAAAAATCTTCAGACCCCCCCCCCCCCTCCTGCATGGCGCGCCCATTCGCCACCCTAACAAAATAACCTGGTGCCGCCCTGTCTGAACTTGTGTCCCCCCCACGGTCTAATTGGATTGACGCCCATGCCTACTTTCAAACCATTTGCTGATTCGGACCCCCCCCCCCTAACACACGTGTACACATATCGACACATACACAGACTACACTCGACATAATATGTGTAATGGTAATGTAATACATAAACTGTGATTTAAATATTGCACTCGTACCATTTTCTATTATTGTGGGATCACGTCTTTCATTTTTTAAATTCATGTCATTTGTTTCTAAGACCTAATTTCTCTAATTCTCTTGACCCCTCTCCCTTCATATTTGTTTTCTAAGACCTCCCCCCCCCCCTCATCTCTCTTCATATTTGTTTTCTAAGACCCATTTCTCCCCCGCCCCCCCCCCCCCCCATCTCTATTCATATTTGTTTTCTAAGACCTCTCTCTCTCGACCCACTCTCTCTCTCGTATGTATTTCTCAGACCCCTCTTTCTTTCTCTCTCATTAACCCCCTCTTCATATTTGTTTCTAAGGCCTCTCTCTCTCTCTTCATATTTGTTTCTAAGACCCCCCCCCCCCTCTCTTTCTCATTTCTTGATATTTGTTTCTAAGACCTCTCTCTCTCTAGCTCTCAATTCATGATATTTGTTTCTAAGACCCCCTCTCTTTCTCACTTCTTGAATTCATATTTGTTTCTAAGACCTCTGTCTCTCTCTCCCTTTCTCTCTTTCTCATTTTAAATTCATGATATTTGTTTATAAGACCTCTCTTTCTCTCTTTTTCCATTCATCACTTTGTCTAGTGTAATGTACAGACACATAACATATAAAGGAAATTATACACCAGTTTTACATGAATTCATTTGCACTTTATTTACTGCTTTACATTCATATACTTTTTTTTTTCGTGAAGGTAATCTAATCCTTCAATGTCAGAGAAGTAATACAAAAGATACAGGAGTATGTGTATGCATAAATAGTTATATAAAGAAGAAATACGTAGTAAAAGTGAAAGCAAACAATAGTAGAAATTTGAACAGATAATTTGACAGTGTGTTAAGATTTAGATGCAAGAAATGACTATAAGAAATTTTTATTTGAAAATACATGCACATGTAGATAAAAAGAGATCTGAACATAGGCGGATTCATACCCGCAAAGGCGTCTGCATTGCCACTCCGTCATCATCCTCGATGAATTCCATCGTGCAGCAAGCTTCTTAACTTGTTGTTCTGAACTTGAAATCCTATATCTTCTCCCTTAATCTTCAGTATTGCAGCTGCGTACGGTGTGTATAAATGCTGCATCGACGTACGTCTGTGCATGTACGATTCGATTTGGAACTGGCGCGCCCGATCGAGGAGCGTAGACTAGACTCATTCAAGCAGTTTCATTGCTATTTACCGGGAAAATGTCCAGGCCAGGGTGTAAAACGCAAAGTCGCGGGCGGGTTGTCTTTGTGGCGAGTTGTCCGGGATTCGTCACTACGGTAGTAAGTCAGAGCATGTCTTCCTATAATAAAGAGCGTCTCTGTTGTTATGGCCGCTGAATATGATCTGAGCTGTTCGAGCTGATTATGGCACTGGATCTGGCCGAATTGAAGTGACAAAATTCAAGACCTAACCATAGAGTTACGGGCTTTAAGGTGAGTGTCGACGTCTCATATCCCCTTATTCGGTTAAGAACATATTTATTCTAGCATTTTCTTGTAATTTTAGAAATGATCTTTTCTTGCTCAGCTCAGTGATAATTACAAATACAATGCACTCGCACTGCACTGCGCTCTGCACTGTCACTGTCAGTGTCAGTTGAATTCACTCAACAGTGCAGTACGACAGCGAGGCGCTGCAGCTGCCTGTACTGTATTACTGCATCTAAAGCTTGAAGAAGAAGACTAAATTTGACCGCTCCAGCTCTTTTTACTTAGGCACTGGCTGGCGGGCTGAGGCGAAGCTCCCTTGAGCATGGTCACGTGCAAGCCGCTTAGATCATCACTGACTTGAATAATTAGTATAGTCTAGATCTAGATCTAGATCTATAGACGAACAATTTCTGTCTCTTTCAATTGTTAACATGGTTAATGTTACTTGTTAAATGTTAGCCTCTTGTTTGGGTAGGCACGTACCACGTACTTGATACTTGATGAGGTAATCCTGAAGCAGCTTTTCCAAGCTAGGGTCTATACTGGGATGGGATGTGTTGTGACAGCAGGTGAAGGTGCAGACAACAAAAGGGTGTACAATTGCTTTATACAGTAAAATAGTGACGTGCAAGTAAAAAAATCATGCTGCTATATGGTTTACAGCATTCTGGAACCTACAGGAGGTTCCAACCCTCTGACTGATGACAGGGAGGGCGGTCATCTGGAAAGCAGCAACTGTTGGGGCAGTAACTGCAGTCAATGAAGTTAGACCTGGAAGCTTGGCAGCTGGAGACGGCTTTCTTCCAGAAGCTTTGGTATTCAAGGTATTCAAGGTATTCAATGGTAGTTGATTCCAGATGCGAAAGGTGCGGGGGTAAAATGAGTACTTGTAGGAATTCTATTGTTGCCTCAGGAACAGATAACTTGAGTGTGTGGTCTCTTCTGCTGATGTATGTAGCTTTGGTTATGAGGTGAGGAAGACAAATGTTGACTAGCTGTTGGTGTATTTTAAAGAGCATGGTGCTTTGTGCTAGAAGACGACGTGTTTGCAGTTTATCCCATCCCAGCTGGGAAACAAGCCCTGTAGCTGACGTGGATCTTCGGTAGTCGCGGAAGACAAAACAAGCAGCTGTTTCTGTACCCCTTTCCAGACCTTCGGCAACACCAGAAGTGTGGGGGTTCCAGGCTTCAGCGCCATACTCTAGCTGCGGTCGAACCAGGGCTGTGTACGCTCTTGACTTTACATCCTTGGTGCATGGTGACAGGGTTCTCCGCAGCGGCTTTCATCGAAAGGGTGCGGTGCGGTGCGGCGCGGTGTGGTGTGCTCAACGCACCCATTCGATAAAAGGCCCCCCGCTTTTCTCGAAAGGGTGCGTTGAGAACGGAGGACCGTCTTAGCACACCCTTTCGAGAAAAGAGGGGGGTCTTTTCTCGAAAGGGTGCGTCGACTAGTCTTTCGCATCAGTCGTTTAAAATGAGGATCTGGGACAGAAGGTAATAGTTGCCAATTTAAGTATATCGAAAATGTATTAAATAAAATGGAATGGTTGTTGTTGTTGTTGTTTTAGTTTTAAGGGCGTGTGTCATTCAATTATGAATATTTACGCCGTCTTGATTACAGAGTGGTCTCTTTCGTTATTACTATGTTGATGGGGAGACAGAGAGAAGGAAAAAAGGGAAAGGGAAAGGGAAGATAAAAGGAAAGAAAGAAGAATAAGAAGAAAAGAGGGAACGGGGGGGGGGGGGGGGGGACGAAGGGCTCTTGCCTCCTCCCCACCCCCCCCCCCCCCCCGCCAAAAAAATAAATAAGAGAGAGAGAGAGAGAGAGAGAAGGAAAAGGGAAAGGGAAAGAAATATAAAAGGAAAGAAAGAAGAGGAAGAAGGAAAGAGGGAAACGGGGGAAGGGCGAAAGGCTCTTACCCCCCCCCCCCCCCCCCCCGCAAAAAAATAAATAAGAGAGAGAGAGAAGGGAAAGGGAAAGAAAGAAGAGGAATAAGAAGGAAAGAGGTAAACGGGGAAGGGCGAAGGGCTCTTGCCTCCTTCCCCCCACCCCCGCCAAAATATATAAGAGAGAGAGAGAGAGAAGGGAAAGGGAAAGAAAATATAAAAGGAAAGAAAGAATAGGAATAAGAAGGAAAGAGGGAAACGTGGGAAGGGCGAAGGGCTCTTGCCTCCTCCCTCCCCACCCCCTGCCAAACAATAATAAGAGATAGAGAGAGAAGGGAAAGGGAAAGGGAAAGAGAAGATAAAAAGGAAAGAAAAAAGTGGAAGAAGAAGAAGAAAAGAGGGAAACGGGGGCGAAGGGCCCTTGCCTCCCCCTCCCGCCAAAAAAAATGAATAAGAGAGGGAGAGGGAAGGGAGAGGGAAAGAAAATATAAAAGGAAAGAAAGAAGAGGAAAAAGAAATAGAAAAGAGGATAAAGGGGGCGAAGGGCTCTTGCCTCCTCCCCCCCCCCCCCCCCCCCCCGCCAAAAAATAAATAAGAGAGAGAAGGGAAAGGGAAAGAGAAGATAAAAGGAAAGAAAGAAGAGGAAGTAGAAGGAAAGAGGGAAACGGGGGCGAAGGGCTCTTGCCCTCCCCCCGCCAAAAATATAAATAAGAGAGAGAGAGAGAGAAGGGAAAGGGAAGGGAAAGAGAATATAAAATGGAAGAGGAAGAATAAGAAGAAAAGAGGGAAACGGGGGGGGGAACGAAGGGCTCTTGCCTCCTCCCCACCCCCCCCCCCCCCCCCCCCCCCAAAAAAATAAATAAGAGAGAGAGAGAGAGAGAAGGAAAAGGGAAAGGGAAAGAAAATATAAAAGGAAAGAAAGAAGAGGAAGAAGGAAAGAGGGAAACGGGGGAAGGGCGAAAGGCTCTTACCCCCCCCCCCCCCCCCCCCGGCAAAAAAATAAATAAGAGAGAGAGAAGGGAAAGGGAAAGAAAGAAGCGGAATAAGAAGGAAAGAGGTAAACGGGGGAAGGGCGAAGGGCTCTTGCCTCCTTCCCCCCACCCCCGCCAAAAATATATAAGAGAGAGAGAGAGAGAAGGGAAAGGGAAAGAAAATATAAAAGGAAAGAAAGAAGAGGAATAAGAAGGAAAGAGGGAAACGTGGGAAGGGCGAAGGGCTCTTGCCTCCTCCCTCCCCACCCCCTGCCAAACAATAAATAAGAGATAGAGAGAGAAGGGAAAAAGAAAGGGAAAGAGAAGATAAAAAGGAAAGAAAAAAGAGGAAGAAGAAGAAGAAAAGAGGGAAACGGGGGCGAAGGGCCCTTGCCTCCCCCTCCCGCCAAAAAAAATGAATAAGAGAGGGAGAGGGAAGAGAGAGGGAAAGAAATATATAAAAGGAAAGAAAGAAGAGGAAAAAGAATAAGAAAAGAGGGAAACGGGGGCGAAGGGCTCTTGCCTCCTCCCCCCCCCCCCCCCCCCCCGCCAAAAAATAAATAAGAGAGAGAAGGGAAAGGGAAAGAGAAGATAAAAGGAAAGAAAAAAGAGGAAGTAGAAGGAAAGAGGGAAACGGGGGCGAAGGGCTCTTGCCCTCCCCCTGCCAAAAATATAAATAAGAGAGAGAGAGAGAAGGGAAAGGGAAAGGGAAAGAGAATATAAAAGTGAAGAGGAAGAAGAATAAGAAAAGAGGGAAACGGGGGCGAAGGGCTGTTGCCTCCCCCCCCCCCCCCCCCCCCCGCCAAAAAATAAATAAGAGAGAGAGAGAGAGAGAGAGAAGGAAAGGGAAAGAGAAGATAAAAGGAAAGAAAGAAGAGGAAGAAGAAGAAAAGAGGGAAACGGGGGCAAAGGGCTCTTGCCTTTTTTTTTTCTTTCTTTTCCTTTATTTCCTTTCTTTCCTAGTCTCCCTCTTTTTCGTTTTTCTCTTTCTTTCTTTCTTTTTCTTTTTCCTTTCCCTCTCTTTTTTCCCGACGGCAGCGCAATTTTACCGACAATATCCTGACAGGTGGGGGGGGGGGGTGTCGCACCCCCACACCCCCTTTGGAGACGCCCCTACCTACGCCACTGTTGGCGACCACAAGGCTATCTATACAAATTAAGACATATTAATGAAGATTCTTTTTTAATATTGCAGAGAGATAAGTATTTTCTCTATGAACTTGTTTAATGGAAGGATAATAAATAATATTAAAAACATGAATACTATAGCGGTATAATGATGAGAGAGATGATTTAAGTCATACTTCTTTTCAATGTGATTGGAGTAGACTTGAGGGTGGGGGGGGGGTCCCCTAAGATCTCGGCCGTTTCACAGCCGATCGCCGCGAAAATGTGCATGCATGTCAAGTGAAGTGTATAAAAAAACTATGGTAATTTCAATTTGTTGAAACATTCACTCATTTGCTTATTTATGGTAATTTATGCAAACAAGGTCAGAGAATTCACATTTTTACCCATAAATCATATATAATTCATATTCAAGCGTTCTTTTTCACTACATATATTTGTTAGAATAATAATACAACAAAGTTGGAAGAGCCAGTTTATCCCTATGTTATCTCTGGTTTTGATTATTTGTATTTATGTATTATATTGTTTTTGTTGTTTTATTTCATTTCTTACCACAATTCAACTATTTTGACCCTAAAACAAACGCATTAACTTGAAAACAAGACCAAATAACCAATGTGTTCTCTTTTTTTAAAAGAATAAATGGTATTTCCATATGTTTGGTACATAAATCACAAAAATGAGCGATTTTAGGGCTGACATGCAAAAACAAAAGGTCACGTGACTCCGCAACTATACGTCCAATTTTCAACAAAAAAATGTTTCAAAAGATGCGTAAAACTCGAAAGAAAAAAGTCATGAAAGAAAAAATGTATATCTGCCGCGGTTCCAGAGTAGTCGCGAAATTACTAGAGAGCACTAATCTTTTTTTGGGGCCCTCGAAAATTTGAAAAATTGTACCCCCCCCCCCCCCCTTGAACGCCAGGGAGGGGGGGGGGTCTATCTCCCCAAAACGGTAAAATTAACGTGTTTTTTCACACGTTGTTTCACAGGGCGGAGCCCTCAGAAGCTCCCTCAGAAGCTCAGGGGTATTAAACATCAAAATTAATGTCGGATGAGCATAATTTTATACCTTATTTGTGACAGTGGCAGGACACAATTTGGTGTTGGGTCTAGGGGCGGAGCCCCCAGAAGCTCAGGAGTTTTGTACATTAAATTATTATTATTTTATACCTTATTTGTGACACAGGGGTCACGAATTGGCGTGGGGTCAAGGGGGTGGAGCCCCCGGAAGCTCAGGGGTTTTGGGCAATAAATAACGGTCAGATGAGCATATTTTTATATACCTATTTGTGACACTGGCAGGACACAAATTGGTGTTGGATCCAAGGGGCGGAGCCCCAAGAAGGTGAGGGGTTTTATACATCAAATTATCGTCAGATGAGCATATTTTTATATCTATTTGTGACACTGGCAGGACACAAATTCTTCTTCTCTTCTTTCTTTCCTTTCATCTTCTCTTTCCCTTTCCTTCTCTCTCTCTTTTCCCTCTTTTCTTATTCTTTTTCCTCTTCTTTCTTTCCGTTTAGATTTTCTTTCACTCTCCCTTCTCTCTCTCTCTTATTTATTTTTTTGGCGGGAGGGGGGTGGGGAGGGAGGAGACAAGAGCCCTTCGCCCTTCCCACGTTTCCCTCTTTCCTTCTTATTCCTCTTCTTTCTTTCCTTTTATATTTTCTTTCCCTTTCCCTTCTCTCTCTCTCTGATTTATTTTTTGGCGGGGGGGGGGGAGGCAAGAGCCCTTCGCCCACGTTTCCCTTTTTTCTTCCTATTCTTTTTCCTCTTCTTTCTTTCCTTTTAGATTTTCTTTCCCTCTCCCTTCTCTCTCTCTCTCTCTCTTATTTATTTTTGGCGGGGGGGGGGGAGGGGGGAGGGGGGAGGGCAAGAGCCCTTCGCCCCCGTTTCCATCTTTTCTTCTTTCCTTTTATCTTCTCTTTCCCTTTCGCTTTCCAATCTCTCTCTCTCTCTCTCTCTCTTATTTATTTTTTGGCGGGGGAGGGGGGAGGAGGCAAGAGCCCTTCGCCTTCGTTTCCCTCTTTTCTTCTTATTCTTCTTCCTCTTCTTTCTTTCCTTTTATATTATCTTTCCCTTTCGCTTTCAAATCTCTCTCTCTCTCTCTCTCTCTTTTTTATTTTTTGGCGGGGGGGGGGGGGAGGGCAAGAGCCCTTCGCCCACGTTTCCCTTTTTTCTTCCTATTCTTTTTCCTCTTCTTTCTTTCCTCTTTTCTTTCCCTCTCCCTTCTCTCTCTTATTTATTTTTTTGGCGGGAGGGGGGGGGGGGGGGGGAGGCAAGAGCCCTTCGCCCTTCCCCCGTTTCCCTCTTTTCTTCTTCTTCCTCTTTTTTCTTTCCTTTTTATCTTCTCTTTCCCTTTCCCTTTCCCTTCTCTCTCTATCTCTTATTTATTGTTTGGCAGGGGGTGGGGAGGGAGGAGGCAAGAGCCCTTCGCCCTTCCCCCGTTTACCTCTTTCCTTCTTATTCCTCTTCTTTCTTTCCCTTTCCCTTCTCTCTCTCTTATTTATTTTTTTGCCGGGGGGGGGGGGGGGTAAGAGCCTTTCGCCCTTCCCCCGTTTCCCTCTTTCCTTCTTCCTCTTCTTTCTTTCCTTTTATATTTTCTTTCCCTTTCCCTTTCCCTTCTCTCTCTCTCTCTCTTATTTATTTTTTGGCGGGGGGATGAGGAGGAGGCAAGAGCCCTTTGCCCCCCCCCCCCCGTTTCCCTCTTTTCTTCTTAATCTTCTTTCTTTCCTTTTATCTTCCCTTTCCCTTTCCCTTTTTTCCTTCTCTCTGTCTCCCCCATTAACATAGTAATAACGAAAGAGACCACTCTGTAATCAAGACCATTCCATTTTATTTAATACATTTTCGATATACTTAAATTGGCAACTATTACCTTCTGTCCCAGATCCTCATTTTAAACGACTGATGCGAAAGACTAGTCGACGCACCCTTTCGAGAAAAGACCCCCCTCTTTTCTCGAAAGGGTGTGCTAAGACGGTCCTCCGTTCTCAACGCACCCTTTCGAGAAAAGCGGGGGGCCTTTTATCGAATGGGTGCGTTGAGCACACCACACCGCGCCGCACCGCACCGCACCCTTTCGATGAAAGCCCTCCGCAGCAACCCAAGGGTTTTGTTGGCCTTGTTCAGTAGGAGTTGGCAGTGTGTATTCCAGCGAAGGTTCGTGGTAACAGTTACCCCGAGATACTTGTACTTGTCTATCCTGGGTATTATCTCTTTGGAAATCCGGTAGTCATGCTGTATTGGTGTTCTTTTCCTCGTGATGGTAAGGGAGGCACACTTCTTGACATTGAAAGCCATGAACCATTTCGCTGACCAGTCAGACAAGGTTTGAAGGTCTTGCTGAAGGAGGGAGTTGTCATTCTTAGTGTGAATTTCTCTGTAGATCACACTATCGTCAGCAAAAAGGCGCATCTTGGACTGGATATTTAGCTTACAGTGCATGCGCATATCGTTCATCAGATCTCAGTGAATTGCAGTCTCATTTCACTAAATTGGCGCCGACAAGGGCCCTTCCTATTGGCTATTGCTGGCATCTTTCCTGATTGTCTGCAACAACGTAGTGTTGGCTCCTCTATTTAGAGACAGAAGCCGACCATGGGGTCTTCTGTGCAAACTTTGTGGCCAAATCTGGCAGCCAACTTTGCCCCAAATACTAAATTTTAGCGTATTCATTACCGATGCATTTTTTACCTTTATTCTCGTAAAAATTAGGCCTAGGCTAATAATATACATCGGTTCTACTTACCAGATTGACCATATGATGCGTTTAACCCATAGTGTGCCATGAGGCTGCATGCACGCTACTATTGAGTGCCATGTGCGTGCAAGGGCGCTTTCGTAAGAGCAGTTATTGTTCATGCTCATTGGGCTGTGCTGTGTGTTTTGCACTCACCATTCACAGAACCTTCGCGTTAATCAGATTATCTCCAAATGGCACAATGGGGATTACTGTGGCACGATAAGAGTTAAGGGTCTTTTTTCCCGATTTTCTTAGTTCAAAATTGAGCTTTGTGTTGAAATACTTGCAGCTGTATTTTTTTAACTGTTACTGCGCATGAAGGAAGATGACGTCATCCATTAAAGTTAAAGACCAGTATTGGAAACGCCCAAATTTAAAAAAATGAAATGGAAGCTCTTATTACCAATCATGTGAAAGAATATGTTTTGAATAATACATGATGATAAAAAATTTGCTGGGAAACTGCCTACTAATTGATATATTTGGTAAATTAGTTTATCTATTGGTATGTGAGAGATAAAACCGCACATGTGCGTAGTCCCATATTTCTGTGTACAGTGCTTGTAACTTTATGAAGACTGGGCCAAATTTCTTATCATTTTGATGATTCCAGAACCTTGCAGTACATCTATGCTAGATGATCAACCTTTTCTGATCGATTTCATAACTTTTCTTTCACAATGCATTCGCGTGACCATAACTGGTCTTTATCTTTAACACGCATTCAATAAGAGGTTCACAAACTTTTGCATGAAATGATATAGCCTGACTGCTGTAGGTTCGTTTTATACCTCCTATTCAATTATTTGAAATGCCTGTAGTTTCAGTTTTACATCATGCGCACATTTAATTCTGATATAGAATGTCCAAGAGGCAAGACCAAGCATGAATTATTATTTTTATGGAGTGTTAATTCCATGCAAGTTTATTATGTTATTCTTTTTAATTGTTAAACAAGAAAAAATGAAAAGGTAGTTGAAAATTTGTTCCTTTAATTTCATTTAGTCGTTTTACAGTTCAGTGGCTACTTTGACCTCGCCTTTTTTGTCTCTTTAACTTTACTATTTTTAATTAGACTGAAATTGTTCTTCCTTTGTTCATATCTAGAAGAAGCATCTCCTTTAAACCTCTTGGAATTGATGCGTCATCTGAATACAAATTACTCATCAAGGATGGAAGGAAAACAACAACTCTTCGATTAAAGATAAAAGAAATGGCTGATGTGAGTAAAGATAACTTTTTAATCTGTTCCTTAAAAAAGAAAACCAAACTTTCTCCTGTAAAATCAAATGAAATGAGCAGAACTAGGTTGCAATTTGCAAAACAAATGTTTTTTGTCTCGCCTGCGTAGCAAAAAAGCGAGACATAGGCGCCGCTTTTTCGGTGACGGCGACGGCGGCGGCGTCAACATCAAAAACTTAACCTAAGGTTAAGTTTTTGAATTTTTGATATAATTTTGAAATGATAAGCCCTTAGTCAATGAAACTTGGACTATAGGGTTATTAAGTATCCCCAATCATGTGAGTTGAATTTCAGGTCACAAAGTCAAGGTCAAAGGTCGTTTCAGGTCAACAGACTTAGACTATGTTGTGGCATCATTATCGAAAACTTAACCTAAGGTTAAGTTTTTGAATTTTTGATATAATTTGGAAAGTATAAGTTCTTAGTCAATGAAACTTGGACTATAGGGTAATCAAGTATCCCCAATCATGTGAGTAGAATTCAGGTCACTAAGTTAAGGTCAAAGGTTATTTTAGTTCAACAAACTTAGACTTTTTTGTGGCATCAACATCAAGATTTTGAATTTTTAGCATATTTTCAAAAGTGTTTGTTCAAATTCCATGAAACTTGTACCCAAGAGTTATCAAGTATCACAAGTCATATGACACAAATTCCAGATCACAAGGTCAAAGGTCATTTTAGGTCAGTAGACTTGGATTATGTTTTCACAACTTAATATGAGAATAAATTAATCAATTTTTCTTATTTGTTCATTATTCTTAATCAATATTCACTTCAAAATGCTGATTTTATTCAGAGGATTTCATTTGGGGGGGGGGCCTGCTAATGGGCCACCCTGCCTATGAATAGTGTTCCAAGTTCCAACCTCAATTTTTCATCTTATCGAATTGCGTAATGCAATTCGCCGAGAGCGTTTCCCTTGTTTAAAAGGTGTGGCACTACGTTTGTGATGATACAGCATAGGATCATCTAACTAGGATCTGTTCATCAAGCAGTGAATAGTTATAAAATGCAACTCCCTCTGTCTAATTTCCTCTTTTCAATTCAATTCAAAATGGTTTGTTTAATGACAAAGTGTAACTAGACCAGTAAGTTAAAAAAAAATGAGGAGAAAATGGGAGGGTAGTGAGCACTAAGTAATCTCTTTCTCTTTTGCCGCAAGAGATTTGAAAATCATGTCGCCTGATATTTTGCTCGGTGGGGGGGGGGGGGGGGTAGGGGGGTAGTGAGCACTAATTTTTTTTTGAGGATAATTACATATTAAACTTACTCATATTTCTTTCTTTAATACTGAAAACCTTATTTTTGCAGTCAGTGGAGGAGACAGCAGCTAATGAACTTGCCCTACCCATTCCAATCATCGTAGTCATTGCTGTAGGGAGCTACATCTTAGTCATAGTTCTTATCCTTGTCATCAGACAGTTCTTGGTTGTGAGTATTCGATCCTTTCTTAACAGTTTATATTTGGCTTATGATAGTATTTGCATATATAGTATGCAACAAAAAAGTTACACGTGCATGTGCTGATTGTGCTCGTGCATTACAATCCATTACATCACACTCATTGTATACTCATTGCGCTTTGTATCTACTTGTAGAAAAGGCGCTATACAAATGTTCATTATTATTATTATTATTACTCATTCTGAATGAGTGGTACCAGGATTGAATGTATGGGCACAGTACAACTACAAAGATTTGTATGATGAATATGAATTATTTTCAACTAAAGAAAAAAAATAGGATAAAGCTTTCTCACATGATCCTTTTTTCATAGAATTTGATTTTTCCATTTTTATGCCTCCGTTACGAAGTATCGGGAGGCATTATGTTTTCGGGTTGTCCGTACGTCTGTACGTCCCATTCTCGTGATCGCGTTATCTGAAGAACCAGTTGATGGATTCCTGCCAAACTATGTATCTTGCAGAGCCGATGAACTGATTAGATTTTGGGGTCACGAGGTCCAAGGTCACAGGGCTCATTATGTATGCAAAACCTCTCGTGATCGCGTTATCTCAAGAACCGATTGATGGATTCCTGCCAAACTTTGGTCATGTATGATACTTGCAAAGCCGATGAACTGATTAGATTTTGGGGTCACAAGGTCAAAGGTCACAGGGCTCGTTATGTATGCAAAAACAGCTTGTGATCGCGTTATCTCAAGAACCGATTGATGGATTCCTGCCAAACTTTGGTCATGTATGTATCGTGCAGAGCCAATGAACTGAGTAGATTTTTGGGTCATGAGATCAAAGGTCAAAGGTCATGGGCTTATTATATATGCAAAAATAGCTTGTGAACACATTCTCATTTGAACTGACAGATGGATTACTATTTAACTCAGGACATCTTGCAGAGCCAATGAACTGAGTAGATTTTAGGGTCATGAGGTCAAAGATCAAAGGGTCATATATGTATATGAGAAATTGCTTGTAATCACAATATTCTGAGAACCTGTTAATGTATTACAATTGAACTTGAATTTGAAAAATTTCTTCTGTTTTGGTTTGTAAAATTGCTCTTTGACGGAGGCATCATTTTCGACTGCGCACAGTCGAAGTTCCATCTAGTTTAACTTGTATTAAGTACTCTAATTGAATTTGTATTCCACTGTTTGTATCATCACATGCAGGCCAGAGGTATTTGTGTAGAGTGCGCCCCCTGTGGTCAAGAAGATGGCAGTCTACAATGCTGTGACTGTTGGATAGCATTGGCAGAGTCCTGTAACTGCTGTGCTTATCCAAACATTAAAACATGCCTAGATGCTGTGTGTGGGCCAGCTACTAAGGTAAGCGTCTTCAAAGCTTAGCAACTCGTACCTTCACAAATACAAATACAATCCTGTTGTTTAAAGGTAAAAACCAGTTTTGGAAACACCCCCCTCTCAAAAAATGAAATGGAAGCTCTTATTACCAATCATGTAAAAGAATATGTTTTTACTAATAAGTGATCATACAAATTTTGCCGAGAAACCGCCTACTAATTGATATATTTTGTAAATTATTATATCTATTTGGACCTGATAGATATAACGCATGTGTGGGTGTAGTCCCATATACATCTTTCTGTGTACAGTGCTTGTAACTTTATCAAGACTGGGCCAAATTTCTTATCATTTTGATGATTCCAGAACCTTGCAGTACACACCAATACTTATATGCTAGATGATCAACCTTTTCTGATCGATTCCAAAACGTTTCTTTCACAATGCAATCGCATGACCATAACTGGTCTTTATTTTAAGAGCCAGAACTAATATTTTGCCTTTTGAGCATTATTTATTGTCAAAAAGGCATTGAATGATTTTGGACGGATCATATAAAACCCTCAATTTGTCTAGAAATGAAAATCTAATTCAGTTTTTAACGCAGGACTAGAAGAATGGATTTAAACTCATTAAAATAGAGTTTGAACTACTTCACCTTAACAATTTGTATACTTCAGTCAGACGTAAGTTCTGATGTTTTAGTTTCTAAGGATCAACAGTTTGTAATTATTTTGTTCTCTATACCTAGTACAATGAATTTGTTGAATTGGTGACATGGTCTCATTAATACACTTATTTAACATTCATCAAAGTGCATGATACTTACACATCTGCTTTTAATATAACTAGGTGTATCAAAATTCAACAAAGCATAAAACGTTCTTCCTTTTAAGAAGTAGCATCTGCCTATAAAATTACCAGAGTATAACAAAGAATTTTCAAAACTTGTTTTAGAAGCATTAATTCTTGATTATCTTCTGGGTGATTCAATTCTCTAGTTTGTATATTGAATTTTGACTTGTCCAAAGCTGATGTTACTGATGATATTTATTTTTGCCTTCAGATCAGATATTCTCACTTTAACATATGATGTTCAAACAGGGCAAAATAGTGCATCCATTTAATGATACTAATTATATATTTATAAAGTGTTTACCACTAATAATACTGTTTCTAAGCATTGTACTCTTAACTGATGACAGAAATTGGGAAATGCATTTACGTTAGCTGGGGATACTAGTTTAAATGAGAACCCGGTTCAAATCATCAGTTATAGTTGTTGTAAAAACAGGAACTGCTTGTGTGGTTTTTTTGCAAATGTATTTGATGTGTTTACTGCAAAGAGTGAAACAACAGCTAAGAGTGAAAAAATAATTGGTGATTCATACCAGCAATCTCATAACTTTTAACTGTCTCTTGTCATGTATCAGGAATATGGGACTACTTCAAGAGCAATGATTTTCATATATCCATAGCTACTTTTGTATTCTTCCACATTCAAATTAAAACAATAAGAACATTCACAGTTAATTGTTCACCTGCACCAGAACTCTTCTCTGTAAATGCAAATGATTGAAGGGGTGATTATGGTGTTTGGAAATTTGTACCTCTCCTTAATTCATGCATTCATTTAATTTTCTTATTTCTTTTTTTTTTCTTTCTTTCCTTATTTTCTTTACCCTAACATTTTCTCTATCATTCTACCCTTCTCTTTAATTCTTTCTTTCTTTCCTTCCTTATTTTCTTCGCCCTAACAATTTCTCTATCATTCTACTCTTCTCTTTAAATCTTCTACACTGATATTTTCATCTCTGGTTAATTCACACACTTACTATTCTCAATTTATTCTTTCTCTATAAATATTTCTACACTGATTTCTTTATCTCTGTTTAACTCACACACTACTTTTCTCCATATAATCTCCCTCTCTATTAATCTTTCTACACTAATACTTACATTTTCTATTTTTGTTCACTCTATTACTATATTTAATTCATTTGTAATTTTACCTTTCCATTGCTGTGTCATCCTCTGTATTTCATTGAACCATCCTTCATATGTTGCCCTTTACCCTCTCTTTCTATCTTCTCTTTTTGTTTTCCTTCCTATCTTCTCTATTCCTCTTGTTCTTGTCAATTTTGGAAAACATGTTTTCTCTTCATCTACCCACTGTCTCTCTGTTTTGTGTGTGGTGCCCCCCCCCCCTTCTCTCTCTCTCTCTCTCTCTCTCCCTCTCTCTCTCTCCCTCTCTCTCTCTCTCTCTGTCTCTTTCTCTGTGTCTCTGTCTCTTTCTTGCTCTCTCTCCTCTCTCTCTCTCTCTTCCCCCCCCCCCCCCTTCCCCTCTCTCTGTCTGTTTTTGTTCCGTATACTCATTACCGGTATCCTTTCTATGTCTGACCAGAAATGTTCTGTTCAAAAGTGCCTTACTTGCCAGGCCTGTATGCAATGCTGTGACAACTCTGATGGTTGCGAGGTAAGACAAAAGAAGCGCGCTGCTTTTTCAAAGCTTCTAAAAACAAAATTGAATAAATTTAATGCATTCTCTTGATGTGTTTTTTTTGTGTTCATGTAGCATGTTGCGAAAGTTTGTGTCAAATTGAAATTTTTATCCAAGATCATTCTTTGGTTTGATTTCATATTGACGGTTTAAAGGGGACCAAATAAAAAAAAAAAGGCTCATGTGGTGAAGGATTGAAGTGCGTATAGGGGACAATGATTTCATGTTGAAGCCCACTTGAATTCTTAGTTTAAATCATCTGTGCTGCATGTGCATAGACTAGCCTACATGTTCTTACATGTACAAGTCACCTGGTTGTAATGTGCATTTACAGGAGCAATTTTTATTATCAGAAGTCATAGTGGTACCATTATGTAACCTAAACATATCAGCAATATTTTTTAATGATTGTATCCCTTTGAACCTAGACCATAGTTAAAAGTACTGTTATAGTATAGGTTGTTAAAAGGTCACCATGGATAATTACTAAAAGCCTAGCTATATTAAAGAAGTAACATATCCTTTTTTCAATTTATTTGAGGGAAACAGACTAGTGAACAATTTGAGAAAAATGGAGTGAAATCATTGAGAAATTCTGATAAATAAAAGGTGTGATATTAAGAGTCAACTGCAACTATGATGAGATGTGTTTGAGCTGCAATCAATCCATTTGTTATTAACATGAACTTATTTCAATTTTCTTCAATAACAATTTCCCTCATACCTTCACCCAAGGTGCACATGTAAATCATGAGTAACATTATATATGTCTTCTCATTTATTGTTTCAAAAAGAAATAGTAAACAATTTAATCTACTAATTACATATACTGAGTTAACAATCCCTGTAAAATCTAGTATTTCTCATTATTTGATTTTGAAATGAAGAGCTCCATGTAATATTCATGTAATATCAGGTGAAAAGAGTAACTGATATTTGCCATGCGGTTCTATTGCTCTATACATGGATTATTAATGTTGTTTTTGTTGATTTCTTTCTTGTCACATAGTGTGCAGGTATGGACTGTGCTTGCCAGGCTCCTGAATGTGAAAGTATTGATTGCTTGTGTTTCAAGATCCAGCTTCAAGCTTGAGAATCATTACATTGGCCAGCTCAACTATTCACCTATAGCTAGAAACGTGATCTTTTAGGTCGGATATTGTCACAATATTCAAAGTTTTAATTGAATTGTTTCCAACGTGGATGATTTAACAACTTTTATGTTATATCATTTTTTTTTGAGATTTCACAACATTTTACTACATTTTTTAGGGAAAGAGCATCACTAAAATTACGATACTTTAGAGGTGCCGTGGTCGAGTGGTTAAGTCGCCGGACTGTCGATCACAAGGTCCGCAGTTCGAGACCCGCCGCGGCACTAATGTCCTTTGGCAAGACATTGATCTACATTTGCTACACTCAACCCAGGTGATGTAAATGGCTACCTGGCAGGAGTTAATTCTTTGAAATGCTCGAGCGCCGTAATGGCAGAACAGCTGAAGTCGGGGTAATAATCTTTAAGTTTGGAAGCACTTGGTGATTGTGATAAGCGCTATATAAAAACTGAGTGTTATTAATCTTCTTGCACTATTGAATGCAGCTACTTGAATACACATTGCATGCGTCCTGCCAAAAATATGTAAAACATAACAGAAACCATTATTTCAAAACCTTTTTAGACTATAAGTCGATCCATCATGACACAAACAAACAAATTATGACCGATATGACGCTTCTGGATAATTAGTACAATTATTGGTTTGAATATATAGTGCTCAATCACTTTGTTCACTCAAAAATATTCAATTTATCTGGCACCATATGCTGCTACTTATGATTTTTAAAGAATTGTAAAATAATCATCAGTTTTCAAAAAGTGGAAGGGATGGGGTATTTTGGAAATGTTCGCCAATTCCAAGATAAGTCACCAGCATGAATATCGTCGCTGTTTTCACGAAGTGACGGTAGTGAAAAAATATTGCATTCACTTTGCGTTACGATTTTCCTCACTACCGTCACTTTGTGAAAATAGGGACGATATGTCTTACTTGGTCTGCAATCTCATTTTATGTATATTTTTGTTAATGCCTGACAAATCTCTGATGTAGGGGAATAATTATTTTGTACCTGACTCGATTTGATTTCTCAGGCTTTTTTTTGTTTTGTTGTGTTGTTTTCATTTTCATTATTATATCATTAATATTATTATTCATAGTTCACATGTGCAGTGCTATTGCCAATTCCTTATCAAGGGACAATTGAGTGAGAAAAAAATGTGGTCTAACCATGGACATGGCTTGTTGCACGCATGAATGTGAACTGTTTTTAGTTTACAGACAGTTTTCAGTTTACATCAACAATTTTCATTTTGCCATCGTTTTTAGTCAATCTTATAAACACATCACCTTGAATATAATTTCATTGTAGACCTACATTGCAGAAATAAGGTATGTGCTATATCTTTGCATACATGTAGAAGCCATATGTTGTTATATTTCATGACTTTGTCCTGAATGATTATAATTCTCCTATAATTTGTCCTATATTCTTCTTCTCTCTCTCTCCTTCTTTCTTTCTTTCTCTCTTTCTTTCTTTCTCTCTTTCTTTCTTTCTTTCTTGATCGTGGGCTATTCCTCTTGGGATGATGTTGAGGGGAATTTTTTTTTTTTTTTTTTAGTTCTCACTATATCACCTCTGACTTTATGTAATACAAAACATGTCAAGGTATAAAGTCACCATGTTTACATGCAGAGATCACTCATTTTTATGGAATGATATTACAGACATTGACTAGATTCAGCAAACAAATTGGTCCTTCTAAAAAATATTTAAAAAATTGGAGTACTTTATGGCAACTTGGCAAGAGTAATCAGCAAACAAGTTAAGTTTATACAGTACCGTAGGCTTGCGGGTGCACCATGTGAGAGAGAGGGAGGATTGAGGAGTCCTGAAAAGGACTCTTTGTAATCTTTCCTTAGGGTTTGTAGTCCTGAAAACCTAAGTTTAATGGAAAACAAATTGTAGACAAATTTATCAGTTCTTATACATGTATATCCTTGGATATGTATGTTCCAAATCCATAATACATACCTGTACATGTTTATTATCTAGCATTTCATACACTGTTTGAATGTTTGAATAACATTACTGTGTTTGTTGTAGGTCGCAACTACATTATATGTAAGGTACTTTGTTGTAAATACGATGTTGAATTTGGGAGGGGGAGGGGGGGGGGGTTAAATTATGTATAGTACCTTACAAAACACTTTTCTGATGTTGGTTAAGAATATGACTTCATTATTTATTGCTCATATAATTTGATTGTATATATGCAATAACAGGTTTATAAATATAATATTGTAGAAATACTGTACTTGAAATAAATATTTTCATTGAATTTGCCATGTTGGGAATGCCTCATGTGTAGATATTTCATGTAAATGTACTGTCATTCTAACAATGTCTAAAAGTGTTTGTATGTATTGGTGTTTCTTTTGAATTAAGCAGGCACGTAGCCAGGGGGCACTGGGGGCAGTCGCCCCCCCCCCCCAAAAAAAAAATCAATCAATCAATAAATAAATCAATAAAAAATATATATATATGTATATATATATATATATATATATATATGTATATATATATATATATATATATATTTAAAAAACGCCGGTTAAAAAAATAGAGAGAGAAGAGAAGGGGAAAAAAAGAGAAGAGAAGAAAAAATGAAAGAGAGAGAAGAGAAGAAAAAAAGAAATAGAGAGAGGAGAATAAAAAAGGAAAGAGAGAAGAGAAATACGTTAGAGGGCGTACGAAGAAAAAGGAGCAGACAAAAACACTTTTTAAATTCAGACAAAGAATATGGCCCGAATTCTCAAAGGAGGTTTGTCGACAAACCTCCTTTTATTTCGACAAACCTCCTTTTGTTATTTACAAACCAGGTTTGTAAAAAAACGCGTCAAAACGCGTCATATGACGTACATAAACCTCGGTTTGTCGACAAACCTCCTTTGTGAATTCGGGCCTAAGAGTCTAGAACGGTACAACGAATCACTTCTTCCTCTAATAATTTAATGAAACGTCATAGCTTTTACGCGGGAGGAATTCGCGTGCTCATTACCGCCCCCCCCCCCCCCCCCCTAAAAATTAAATCCTAGCTACGCGCTTGGAATTAAGGCCCCGTCAATAAAAAGGAGGGGAAACAATCGGGGGTTTTGAATAAATCTATTTATTCATCTATTTGGGCCCGGGTTTTTTTTGTTGCATTATTTATGTTTTTATCAAAGTTGCATTATTTTATTTGGGTTATTTTTTTATTAAATTTGAATGAATTTGACACGAACGAAACCCAACAACATAAATTTGAATGCAGTTCTCAGTGAGGGATACTACAGGCAGTCTGAAAAATTCTTTGACAAGTTGCCTTTTTCATCTAGCAATGGGATTTTAGTCAAATCTTCGAATTAAAGTCAAAATTTGCCATGTTAGCGGTATTGTAGCCCCTATTTACCTATGACTGCGAGTTGCGTACTTATATATTTTATGGAACGAACCTTAGTGTGCTACATATACTGCGAAAAAGGGGTCAATACATGTATTGTTATGACCAAGAAGTTACTAGCACTCCTTGTTATGGCATCGTGGCAGTTAACAGTAATAACTTTTTAATGAGTTTATACTAACTATACTTGTTCAAGAAGCGAGTATATTCTATATTTTTTCTTCTTCTTCCATACGGGCTAATGCATATTGCTTCACACACTCGCACAAAAAAAAAAGAGGCGGTGCCCTCATCCTTTACAAGAACCACAAAAGTTCCTCTTTCTACCTCAGATTAGTGCCCCATTTCCCTTTGAATATGTGTCCCGTTTTACTTTTTATATGCGCACTTTTCTTAATTGCACTTTTCTCTTGAAAAGTCCCTCTTTTCACTTATGAGCTCCCTTTTCAAACCTGATAAAGTGGCCCATTTCCTCTTATTGAGTGCCTCTTTTCACCTCTAATGGTTTCCGCCTTGCTCATCTGACAGTTTTCCAGTTATATCTATGTAATTATTATTAACAATAATAATACAGTATAATAATTATATTACATTAAAAAAGCGCCTTTTCATTTGATACAAAGCGCATAAACAAGAAAGAAAATAAAAACTATCATATGAAGCTTACATCTAACAAATTAGAAAATATTTGGTTTCAGACACTTCTTTAAAATTGTGAGAGTATGACAATTCTTAAAGCCCCTCTAAAGTGTTGGGAGCCCCAAAAATTTATGGCAATATTTCACTTGAATTGTACCATAATGTGAAAGAGGGTGTCATTCAAGACACATTTCTGCAAGGATTTTCAAAAACAAAATGTTCGAAGTCGAATTATTGATGAAAGAATGCAAAATTTAGGTTTTCTACCGACAAAAGAAAACCCAAATTTTGTATTCTTATATCAATATTTGTCTTCAAACACATTTTTTTTTTTTTTTTTTTTTTTGGGGGGGGGGGGGTATCTGCGCAGAAGTGAGTCTTAAATGACATCCTCTTTCACATTATGGTACAATTTAGGTGAAATGTGTGGCGAAATTTGGGCTCCCGACATTTTAGAGGGGCTGAACAATTATGGAAATGGTATCATTAGACAGCTAGGGTATTAGTATTTCTTTACAAATATACTATGATTCAAGGTAACACAGGTTACAGCTTTTTAATAAGAAGCTAACAAAGTTTGGTTACCTTTTTTGATACGCACTGTATAGTACAAGTTTCGTATATAGCAATTCTCACAGGTAAAACCGAAAAGTTTGAAGGTTGATAGAAAGGGTCATCCTTACAAAAATGTCCACACTGAACATGAGAAAAAGACCTGCTACTCGATTATTTTAATATTTTTAGGTCGTACACGGTTCCTGTAATCTCGTAGATTGCCCTCAGATAGAATAATCATTGAAATCAGAGGCGCACCCCAACATTCAGGTACCCACAAATTGCGAATTACTTCAGATAAGTGCCCTCTTTACTTCTGATACGCGCCCCTATTCAAATCTGATAGGTGTCCCTTGCGCATGCCCCTTTGTAACGAAATAAACGTTCCTTTCCCCCATCTTATAAGTTTCCCTTTTCACATCTGATAAGTGCCTCTTTTACTTTGACACGTTGCTCCTTTCCTTTGTAATAAGTGCCCTTTCCCCTTTTGATAAGTACAACTCTTTCTGTTTAATAAATTCCCCTTGTTACCTTTGATCGTGCCCCTTTTATTTATATTTCCCAATGTCGCTTAAAATTTGTGTACGATACGTACTATAACATGATTTTTTTCTCAAATTTCCCCATTACTTGCTCGCTTGCATTTGTAGTATCTCATTATTAAAGCAACATATTAAAAGTCTTATATATTTTTCATTATGAGATTTTGCTTAGAATCCTATCATGATTGGTGATTTCATCTAAATAATAAATCCCAATCAGTCGCAATCGGATGGTCACAATATGCGACCCCACAAATCAAAAAAAAAGTTTGGTCCTCCGCTTCACTTGCTCTCAATTTTAATTTAATTTAATTTGATCGTCATTTATTCTCCATTCAGGAAATTCTTTTTCCACTGGTTTTACAATCATTCTACATGTACATAATACAAGAACAAATACGCATTACAATAACGGCAAATGTACATCATCATAAACATAATACCATTTTGAAAACAAATTATAATTTCAGAAACGGAACAATATTTATACATTGATAGCAATATAATCATAAACTGCATTTATATTACTATTTCAAGTGAAATTCTAATAAATCTTTCAGCATTCACACATCACAACCGCGAAGTATTGTCATGACGCATTATCTTGGACCACATGTAGAGATAATGTTGAAAATCATCCCTGATAATATACGGGTATAATATACAAATATCTAAACATTTTCTTTTCACCTTAAAGGTTACCATTTCTATAGGTGCCCTTTTTTGTTGGTGCGTCCCTACTCTGAAAGGCACTCCGTATTGCCCCTGGTAGAAATATAAGACTGATTTCGGTAACTATCTTCTTTTTTTAATTTGAAAGTTACATGAAGTTCATACGAAGACAAGATTTGCGTGCGTAGTTACATACATCGTCTGCTGAGGGTCACGCCCAAAGGTCACGCCACGCCCTACTGAATCAAAGCCAGCGGAAGTCGGACGATATAAATCTCGTCTCATCTTGACTCCGACTGAAGCACAATTTAGGAGAAGATATTGATGAAAAGATCTTCTTCCGACAAACTTTTCATTATTGACGGAGTCTATACGTTATCAACGCTCTTTTGGAAATTACTTTACGAAGGTTAGAATAGCAGCTGACGTGTAACTTGGGTGAGATATATTGTGCGTTGATTTGATGGAGTATGAAAAACTTGGGATTTTATACACGGAAGTGAGATAAAATGTAAAAGAGAAGAATATAGTGTATGTGGGTATAGACTATGTAGTATGGGGTGTATTTATATTTATGTTTGTGAGATAAAGTGTTAGAGGCGAACAGGAGAAGGGGAAAAGGTGATAAAATTGTCTGATGTTAATGAAGCGGAATAAGCAGTATATTTTTCTTCTACATGATTGTACAGTTAACAACTGAATCATTCAAATCCTTCAATGTGCATTTTGATGTTTTGTGTGTGATGGACTGTATGGTGGACTGCTTGAATTAGGGCCTTTCTAAAATTCTTTTAGATGTTATCTTTAATGTCACATTCTCAAGAAATATAAATTACGACAAATCAATTTATCACATACCTTAAAAAAACTTGGGAAGGGTAAGAATGATTTATTTGTTAACTATAGGCCTATATAATCTGAGTATTTAAAGCAAATTAAGTTTGTATTAGATATCCCCCTTTTCTCTATATATATCTCGCTTCTCTCTCTCTCTCTCTCTCTCCCTCTCTCTCTCACTCTCTTTCTCTCTCTCTATGTCTTCAAGTATAAAAGTATTCCTGATTATCTAGATTTCAATAACTTTATACATTAATGGCATAGAAAAAATGATGCAGGTAGGTCGATTGATTTTCTATACAGAAAACCAATAAAATAGAAACACTGGTGAAATACATCTCAGGAGTGATGGGGCATCTTTAAATGAGGCACCAACAAAAAGGGCACTCCAAGAAAACAGAAAAACCACGAAGTATGAACACAAAGCAGGAGAAAATACAGTTTGAGGCATAGAAACCCCAACTTTCCAGTTAATACTTTATCAAGGATCATCTTGGACGTTTTTCATATCTTTAGGTGGATCTGGATGTAGGTATACTTTTTCCATGCCATAATTGCCTTTGCGTGTAATGGTCTCGCGATTCAATTGCAAGTGAGCGAAGAGAGTGAGAAAAAGTGACCTTTTTGTAATAATAATAATAACAACATTTATAATGCGCACATAT